CCCCTGCATTTGGTTCGTGGGTTACAGAGTAAGCGAACAGAGACTGTACTGCAGCCGGGGAAGGTTTACTAAACGGCGGTTTGGCTTAAAGACACGGGAGGTGTCTTAACATATTGCATTTCAATATTCTTTGCATGGCATGCTTCCAGTTAATGTGCACACACACACTCATGGAAAAGGGGGATAAAGAACAAAGGGGGGTGGGGGATAAGGTATCTCTAATTGGCACTAATAAAATAATGAAAATGAATATATAAAAACTAGAGAATAATAGGAAAAAGAAAAAGTTTAATTAATATAAAAACCAGGACCCCTGGTGGTGATACAGAGCTACTACACCTACTGCTTTTAAAGGGACACTCCAGTGCCAGGAAAACAATCAGTTTTCCTGGCACTGCAGGTCCCCTCTCCCTCCCACCTTCCATCCCCGGTTGCTGAAGGGGTGAAAACCCCTTCAGTCACTTACCTGAGACCCCCGCCGGTGGTTTTGGGTTGCCGCTGCTCCTCCCCTTCCTTACGTCAGCCGGTGGGCGAGACTGATCCCGCCGGTCGGGGAGACTTAATGCGCACGCGCATTAGAGCTCTCCATAGGAAAGCATTGAAAATGCTTTTCAATGCTTTCCTATGGGGAATTGAGCGACGCTGGAGATCCTCACACAGCGTGAGGACGTCCAGCGACGCTCTAGCACCTGTGCTATAGACACGGAAGTGCCCTCTAGTGGCTGTCTAGTAGAGGAGGAGTTAACCCTGCAAGGTAATTATTGCAGTTGATAAAAAACTGCACTAATTACACTTGCAGGGTTAAGGGTAGTGGGAGTTCGCACCCAGACCACTCCAATGGGCAGAAGTGGTCTGGATGCCTGGAGTGTCCCTTTAACTTCTATGTAAGTGAATAAATAGATTTTTTTATTATACACTGGATTGTGCACTACAATTTTCTTTTTTCTTTTGAGTATATGTACCTCAGCCAACCCATGGTGATCTGAATACAAAGTGAAGATTGAACCCTTAGAGGGAATTTATATCAAAGGCATTAAAACTTCAGTGAATATGTGAGTGGCCATTTGTGAATACAACATTTGTGGTTTATCACCTACACAGTTATACGCTATGTTTTCCTGTTTTTTATTGGCTTAGCCGATTACCACCTTTAGTGCATCCCCCTTTTTGTGTGTCTTGCACCTTCTTGTGTGTCTTTTACTCCTTGCCTTCTGTGTCTCTTACTTCCTCCAGCTCCTTTGTGTGTCTTATACTTTCCCTTCAGCCGCTGTGTGCCTCTTACTTTCCCCCAGTCCCTTTGAATGTCTCTTACTTTCCTCCAGCCCCTTTTTGTCTCCAACCCCCCCGCTCATTTGTGGATCTCTTACTTCCCACAGCCCCTTTATGCGTCTCATACTTTCCCCAGCCCCTCTGTGTGTTTCTTACCCCCTTCCAGCTCCTTTGTGTCTTTTACTGCCCCAGCCCCTTTGGGTGTCTCTTCCTCTGTCAGCCCTATGTGTGCCTCTTCCCCCCTCTTACCACCTCCTCCCTTTTTGATTTGCCTGCCTGTTTTCCCTTTGTAGCATGGCCATGTGCGCTGTGGTAGAGGATCTTTTTTATCCTCTACATGGTCTGACAGGAATATGCTCACTGCTCCCAGAAGATCCTCTACCATGGTATGCATAGCTACACTACATGGAGTGGCTGGCAGGAGGGGGAGCGCTGTGCGCTTCACTTCTGTCAGAGACCCAAACATTGTTTTCCTCATGGTTGCCCCAGCCCTGTATTTACAAAAAAATAAATAAAAGTTTAAAAGTAAAACCTGCAAATGTTGCGATTTAGTTGGACTTGTTATTGGCGGTATTCAACTCTTTTGGGTTTTTGGGATTGGGCAGAGTCACATAGGAGTCCATAAGTTTGTGTATCAATACATTGCAGCAATTTGCTTGAGTTGTGTTCCTCATATATGTTCTTACTCTGCTCACCATGAGTGTAATTTGTGTTATTCAGACTCTAATTGTTCATGTGCGATATCGCAGGAAACTTAGAACTAATATGGAGAAAGACATTTGATTGCATCTAAATGAAAGTGCATTCTTTCAATGCTATTTGTTAGGTATGTAAATTTGTCCTAACTGCATATGACAGTGCCCCTTTAAGCACATAAACCTCACAAAGGCTAAGTATGCTGCAAGAAAGGGGCTACTTGACTGAGGTCCTAAATTTATTTAACCAACAAGCTATAAATCTTAATTCTCAAACTGAATCCTTAGGACAGGTTTGCCGACTCTGATATTATCGTGTAGAAGGACATTTTATTTAAATTACACTTAGATTTGGCAAATAAATGAGAAAGGACATAACTGAACATGCGAGTAGGTAAGATTGTGGGAGAGAAACAGAGAAATGTCAAGTGGATAGCAGAGAGAATTACATCTGCATTAATGTGCTCAGATTGAATTCCCTAGGAGGTTCCATTTTACTGGATTCTTTTTTTGTTGAAATAACTATTTGGGGAGCATTTACTAAACTTTTAGGGTATACTCAATTAATAAAAGTAAAAAGGCATACTCAATAAAAATTGAGTTGTGATGAATGGAAAACTAAGTTGCAAAATGTAGCCCAAATGAGCTGTCCTGGAAAAAGGGTTTTCAAGCTTGGATCTATCTATCTATCTATCTATCTATCTACCGTATATACTCGTGTATAAGTCGATCTCATGTATAAGTCGAGGGCAGTTTTGTGACCAACAATTGTGAAATATGCTATGCCTCATGGATAAGTTGAGGGTAAAACTTGGGGCTATGAAATTCTGTGATTTTTAGAATTATATACACACACACACTCATACAAACACACACTCTGCATTATACACACACACACTCCTACAAACAATCTGCATTCTACACACACACTCATACAAACACACACACATTCTGCATTATATACGCACACACACTCATACAAACACACACTCTGCATTATACACACACACACTCATACAAACAATCTGCATTCTACACACACATTCATACAAACACACACACGCATTATATACGCACACACTCTGTGTGTATATAATGCAGAGTGTGTGTGTTTGTATGAGTGTGTGTGTAGAATGCAGATTGTTTGTATGAGTGTGTGCGTATATAATGCAGAGTGTGTGTGTGTTTGTATGAGTGTGTGTGTCTGTGTGTGTGTGTGTGTGTGTGTGTGTGTGTGTGTGAACTGGGTGGGAGGAGGGCATTTTTATTATAATTTTTTATATATATTTTAGGTTTTTTATTTATTTTTTATTTTAATATTTTAAGTTTTTTATTTTAATATTTTTATTGTATTTTTTTAAATTTATTTAATTTAATTTTCGTCCCCCCTCCCTGCTTGTTAGCTTGCCAGGGAGGGGGGCTCTCACTCCCTGGTGGTCCAGTGTATGGGCTGTGTAGGAGGTGGGGCTGACAGTGAGAGGTTACTTACCTTTCTGCAGCTCCTGTCAGTTCCCTTCTCCTCCGTGCAGCTCCTCTTTCAGCTCCCACTGGAAGTCTCGCAAGAGCCGCGGGGTCACCGCGGCTCTTGCGAGACTTACAGTGGGAGCTGACAGAGGAGCTGCACGGAGGAGAAGGGAGCTGACAGGAGCTGCAGGAAGGTAAGTAACCTCTCACTGTCAGCCCCCAACAGGACCGCCGGGCTTGTAATAAGCCCGGCGGTCCTGGTCTGTGTATGTAATGTAAATTGCCATAATACAGACATTAACTCGAGTATAAGTCGAGTGGGGGTTTTTCAGCACAAAAAATGTGCTGAAAAACTCGACTTATACTCGAGTATATACGGTATCCTGAATTCTGATTTCAAGTCACCACCGTTTATTTAGTGATCAAGTGCTAATGAATTAAGAAAGAATTCAGTACATTTAAATTGTGCTGTTAAAGCGAAGTACTAGTTAATATGTATATATAGATCTCTTTGAAGATTGGGCAAAAGTAACATCCCCAGGACTTACTTGGAAACCAGATAATATATGAATGTATCTTACCTGGTTAAACACTTTGCTATTATTATTATCTTACTTCTTTTTTTTTTTTTATTTATTTATTTTATATTAAAGATTTTGCCAATTACATCATAATCCATTTCAGACAATTCAAACAGTAGTTAGTGAAGAAGAGAATAGGCTCTAAATACTGAGTAAACACAAAATCCCCTGACAGAGTGGTGAGGCATGGGAGGTGCGGGCAGAAAGGAAGATGAACCTCACCACCGCATTAATCATAGTCTGTAACGGGGCAAGTTGGGAGCAGGTAAGATGAATAAGAAGTAGATTACCTTAGCTTTTGTGTCACTTTACCCTACTCCCTCTAACATGTTATCTCATTGAGCAGGGCCCTCAACCCCTCTGTTTCTGTGCGTCCAACTTGTCTGGTTACAATTACATGTTTGTTAGTCCACCTATTGTAAAGCGCTATGGAATCTGTTGGCGTTATATAATATATTAATAATAATAATACAATAGTCAAGGCAAAAGAGGATAGTGGCTTGGACCAGTATGTATACAGGATGCCTAATATTTAATTTCAGCCACAGGTATCTCAAAAAGAGATAAACATAAAACATATCATAACAAAAAAAGCAACACTAAAGGATAGTGCATGGGTACCAGGAGCTGACTTGTCATAATAGCTTAAAATAGGATAAAAATAGAAACAATATATATATTGCATAAAAAAGAGAGAGAGAGAGAGAAGATATTAAATTGATTAGCAATGGATTACTGTACTGTGTTGGTGTCTCTCTCCCTGAAAGGTGCAGGGTAAATGACACTTCCACTGAGTGAAAAACTTAGTATCAACAAAGATAACAGTATTAGAAAAATAGCAAAATAGCAACACAGTATATAGAACTGTTTGCTTAAAGCAATAGATGTATCGCTGTAGACTGAAGTAAAATGCAAAAAAAACTGGATCAAGTAAAAGAAACTAGTTTATTAAATATAAAAATTAAATAGGTATAAAAACCAAAAACTACAGGTCAGGAACAGTTAGTAATGATGTTACCAGTCTTTTGAAAGTCAGATGGTAATGTGAACCCTCGGATCGGCTTAGGATGGATGTGGATTGTGTTAAGCCGATTCGTCTCCTGAATGCAACTGCCGGTGAGGACGGCGTGCGTCTGAATGTGCGTCCCAGCAAGACCTCACTCCGGGGGACGGACAGTGCAGACAATTTCGGTAGACATATTCTCCAAGGGATCTTTGTGCAAAGTGATCTTTCTGCTGGTATAATCAATCTGTATCCTGACTTGTTGCTCTGTCTAACGCGTTTCGTAGGTGGAGCCCTACTTCTTCAGAGACGGGATATGGTCTGGTGCTTCAGTCTATCCTTATATACAGATGTTTTAATTGCGGATATTCTGATGATGATAAATGGTTAAAAAAAATATGATTAGTTTTCAGAAGAAGAATGTAAATATATGTGGCAGATATTTCTGAGGTGAACATAAGACTTTTTTTTATAAATATAATATAATAGTATTCTAACCAAATAGAATGATATCGGGTAGAATGTAATTCATTAACGTTGTTCTCATCCTTAAAGTGATATACACATAGACATGAACTAACACATAGTTTAATACTTGGTACCAAAACAAGTGAAAGAATGATTAATATTATTCATGTGGGTTGATGATTTTGTGGGTGGTCCATTCTAGGAAAGAGCACATACATTAGTATATCCATCAATCAATAGTTTCTTATCGAACCTCAGAGTGTAAATATGTGTTCAAAAACAGATATCTGCATGGAGCAGATGGAAGAAATGAAATTAAGATGTATGGACAAAGGATATCCTATGACTTTATTGCGAGAAGCATTGGCTATACCAAGGGAAGATGCTCTTTGCAATAAAATCAAGACTCTGGAACCATACAACTCTATACCAGCCTTTATCACAAAATATAACCATCAATCCCATGCAATACAAAAGATTTTGAAAAAACATTGGGGAATCCTTATGAATGACCCGACACTCTCAAAAATTCTCGACAATAGACCCCAGATCATATTCACCAGGGCCATATCATCATATTTACCTCAATGATATTTTCCTACACCACCATTGTTGTTATTTCATATTGCTAATTTTTTATAAAGACTAAAGATTAACACAATGTATTTGTGTTAGATAAATGTAAGGCATTTATTATTATAATTTTAAACAGTTTTTATTTTGTTAATGTTGTTAATAGAATAACATTTAGGCAATATGCCTTTATTTTAATTTATATAAAGGATTAAATATTGTCAATAAGCACTTATCTTACATTTAATGCCTAAACATGCAATAGAAACTCAATTTCGGTATGTAGTTCAATTGTATCTAGAATATAGATTTAAAGGACCACTATAGGCACCCAGACCACTTCAGCTCAATGAAGTAGTCTGGGTGCCAGGTCCATATAGGGTTAACCCTGCAGCTGTAAACAAAGCAGTTTCAGAGAAACTGCTATGTTTACATTAGGGTTAATCCAACCTCTAGTGTCTGTTTCATTGACAGCTGCTAGGGGCGCTTCTCACTGTGATTTTCACAGTGAGAAGATGCTGCCGTCCATAAGAAAGCATTGAGAAATGCTTTCCTATGGACTGATTGAATGCGTGCGCAGCTCTTACCCTGCATGCGCATTCAGCGGATGACGTCGGAAGAGGGAGGAGAGTCACCAGCGCAGAGGGAGCCCGGCGCTGGAGAAAGGTAAGTGTTTAACCCCTCATGAGGGTGGGGGGACCTATTAACACTATAGTGCCAAGAAAACGAGTTTGTTTTCCTGGCACTATAGTGGTCCTTTAAGATTTACTGTATCTTGTCTTCGATGCTATGTAACAGCAGCACAGAAATGTCTCCATATCAAGGATTAAAAAACAGAAGAGAAATACATATGGTGTTCAATGAAGATTTGAATATATCTCAGAAAATAATTACTACATGAACTGTTGGAGTGATTTAAATATTTCTTTATATTTGTAAGTCTTTTTAAGATTAATACATTATTGATTTATAGCTACCTGGTTTGTGAAATCCTGTTATCCAGTTTGGTACATCACAAATGGTTTACTGAAACCCTTTTTAACTAAACTCTTTTTTACTTTATAATGTCCAACATGCATTATTAACTTGGTCCCTACTTTTATTTAAAAAAAAACAACCTTTTAATAAATAAGTTTAAACTGGAATTCAGTATTGTGCAAAGCTCCCCTCTCTGCCTTCCATGTCTCATCTGACATCACTCCTTCTCTCTCAATGTATAATCAAATGAAGAGGCATTTTACTGGACCAGTTTCCAGGCTCAGAGTGCATGTGCATGCTCTGAGTCGAGAAATGGAAGGGAGTGTATTTGCAAGATACAGAGGGTGGAAATTATAACAAGCAATCAAACAAAAAAAGAAAATTACAATGCAGGGAAGCAAGATTGGTGGACAGGAAGGGAACATTGAATCCTCCCAGTGAAGGGACACTTCATTCACTGCTTGCTATGATAGAAGCTGATTACATCATTTGGCAGTGCAATTAGTCGATGGACCAAAAGTGCAAATATCTCTGAATTTGTAGCATTTCAAACAGAAAAGCTGCACATACAGATTCCTGCCACCTTGACCACTTAAAGCAGAAGTGGTCAAAGAGATTGGAGTTTAACCCCTTAAGGACACATGACATGTGTAACATGTCACGATTCCCTTTTATTCCAGACGTTTGGTCCTTAAGGGGTTAAACAAGGGAGTTGTCACTCTTTTCACCACTGTGTGATATGAACCTGGAGCCAGGCATGCTAATGCTCTTTTTAAGGTGGACAGGTTTCCTATCTGCTCTAAGTTTGAATTTTAGCTATTTACCTTAATATTAGACCAGTGTGGTTGTCTGTCTTCTCATTGGAGGATTATGTTGTAATCCAGTTCTCTTGGAGGATTACACTGTAAGAGGAAAGGTGGTTGTCACCTTAAAATTGGAGACTCCCATAAGATCAGAGCCATATAGTTAGGCTCTATCATAGGTAAGTTAAATAGCTCAGTAGAACATTTGTACATTTTTAATTGAATTGCACTTTACAGCAATACATTGATATTTTATAGTTTGCATATTGCACATAGGACCCCATAAAAAATAATTTTAACTAAATTATTAAGCACTTCACACTTATTTTAAAAAATTTTCAGACTTGTGTATGTGGAGGTACTGATAGGCTGGCCGACACAGACAGTGCTGGGATTGGGGAACATATTATGAGCAGATACACAGTGCTGGTATTCAGTGGTGCATTTAGGATGTTTGCTGCCCAAGCCTAGTGTAAGAAAATAGTCCCCACCTGACATGGCCCACATTACAGCCATTTTGTAAATAAATATTTGTACCTTTTAGACTTGTGCATGGGGGCAAAATTAGATTCCGACAAATCTATTTGTCAAAAAGTTTTTGCTTGGCTGGACCTACATTTGTTTATGTGATATTTCATCTTGGACGACTTTCGTCCATGTAATAATTTCAGGGAACAAAACCAAAAAGGCACAAAAATGGGCTAATTAGTGTCCTGCAAAGGATATACATAATATAATTAATATGTATATATTTTGCAAAACGTTGATCAGCACATTTTCCTGCCATTTGGTTTACAGATCAATTGCGAAGAAGTAACCAATAAAGAGAAAAAAGAAAGAGCACTTAAAATATATATTATAGATTTATTAAATATTTAATCAGCTATCAGCTCATACAGCCATATCTTATTTTTTTTAAAAACTAACGCCTGCTACAAAAAGGTGGCTATCTATCTGATGCAAGTAGCAACCCACAATTCGTTTATACTTTTTTTTTAAAAATGAATCCTGGTAGAACCACCTTTCTCCAATTTCAACTAAAATTGATTTCAACAATCATTTATGGAGATGGTTCCGTTGAAGTTCCAACAAAGGTGCGGGGAATCAAGAATTGGTGCTACGCATTATATTTTTAAGATCCCCCCTACTGCAAATAAAACAAATCCCCAGAAATGTTGCCGGGTCTGTTACAAAAAAGGGAAAAGGACAGACACCCCCTTTCACTGTCCCGATTACCCTTCAAAACCCAGATTATTTATTGGAACATCTTTTAAGCTCTACCACACAGAGTATACCTTTTTGTAAGACTTTTTCCTGAATTTCCTTTTTTTGTTTCTTCGGAAAGCAGAACATTTTAGTTAGTTTCCTTTCCCCAAATCTCCAGTTAGATTCTTTTTGCAGGAGTTAGTTCAGAGATTGCTGCTAAAGGTGCATTGATACCCACACATTTGGTTAAAAAAGTTAAAGTATTGTGGCAGAAATCTAAAGGCAAAGTGTGTATAAAAAACAGAATTAAAAAATTACCACCACACACTTTCTCTGAATTATTTGGGCAAAATGGTTGGGGAAAAGAAGTCAAAACCTTGGATGTGTACTTTATACAAATATATACGTTCAAACCATAAATTCAACTTGGGGGATGGAAAAATGCACCACACTCAACATGTGCCTAGCAAAGCAAGCAAACTATATTCAGCCAAAATGGGCAAGTCCAAAATTTGTTACTGTAAAATCGTGGCAAACCAATGCATGGGGGGCCATAGGTGTACTCAGGGGACTTTGCAGAAAAAAAAATAGGGTGCTTTCTGGCTGTAACATATAACCTGCTGGCTAAAATCAAAAAGCAGAATTCACAAATTATCACCATGCAGGTTCTCTGAAATTATTTTAGTACAATGGTTGGGGAAAGGATGTTACAACATCCCATATAAAATACCCTGGAATGTCTACTTGATAAAAATATATACTTTCATGATGGTAACACTAACTGGGGGATGCAAAAATACACCAAACTGAAGATAGGCCAAGCATACCTATATATCAAGTTGAAAAACTGACATGCACAAGTATCTATTGTGGCCTTTTAGCCCCCAAACAACCCAGCAAATCTATGCATGGGTGGTATCACTGTACTCAGGAGATGTTGCTGAACACATATTGGGGAGTTGCTTGGCAGTGATGCATAACAGGATCTGTTAATTCATGCCTAAAGTACAATGTATATAGAAAAAAATACTACCCAAAAGTTTGACAATGGCTGGTGGTAGAATTAGTGCATGGAAAGTGTTAAAATACCACCATTTGAAATACCCTAGGGTGTCTACTTTTCAAAAATATATGGTTTGATGGGGGTAAAATACATTGGTCGGCCTTACAAATGTCCCAAATAGGACATGTGCGCAGGTTGACTACATGGCAAAATTCCAAATTGGAAAATGGATA